AAAAAAAAACTAGAATTACTATGGACAAATAAAAACAGGACAATTACACCAAGAACCCAAAGAAAAGAAACAGAAGATGGGACTGTATAGTAGAGAAATTCATAATTATTTTACTTTACCATTAAGACTGTCAGTGATGCTTGCTGGTATATGTTTAAAATGAGAGTATCTGATTTATAATAGATAACTGGAACACTGATATTTCTAAGAGTTGAACATTGATATTTCTAAGAGTTACAGCATATTCAACAATTGCACTGATCACAAACTTACATTTCATTGCATGTGATAGCTGTTCATATTGCTGTTGAGCAAGAACATGAAGTTTATCTTCTGATATGCCTCCTTGAGAGAGATCTTTAAGTAAATCTATATCTAAAAACAGATAAATGCTTTTAAATATATCATTATTAGATGTTTTTCACAATTTATATTACATCATTCAATTTTTAAGCCTTTTCCCTATTAATGAGAGTTTTCATGGAAAAGATTAAAACTAAATAGTGTTACAAAAACTTTAAAGCTGAATATCTGTAGTTTTGTTTAGTTTTAATATAATTTCCCTTTTTTTTTTATCCAAATACTTATGCATAGTCTTCCCACTAGCCACGTAAGACATTTAGATGCAGAAGAGAAAATACAGTCAGTCTGGACTCCAGTGGAAGAAAAGCAGGAATTGCTTTCAAGGTGGAATCTTGTAGGCTGTTGTCAGATCTCACTAGCAAAGAATACACAAGGACACAACTGAAAACATTAACTTGCAAACTCAGTATTTGGAAGAAATAATTTCAGGGAAGCAAATACATGTATAAATTTAGAGATGTATTTATAATATGAACTGGGATAATAGTGCACTACTTTATATACTATAATGCACACAGGTACAAGGACTCTAGAAACTTTCAACCTCTTGGATCCTCAGATTCTATACTTGTAAAAAGAAATAGGGTAACTACCTACTTCATGTTCATGTGAGGATTTAATAAAACCACCAAGTGAAGTCATTAGCTGAGTGCCTTACACGTAAGTGCTCAATCAACATTACTGTTAATGATTTAAATTTTACAAAAGCAGCAAATAAAATATTCCTAACATTAATATTTATTCTGAGGTATTCATGTCAACAAGCATATATACTGAGGGTTAAAGAAGTCTCGAGTGTGAAACCGTCTACTTCTAATTAGGATCATTTTGGATCTTAGGCTCCAGAGTCAGGCAGTTCAGATTTAAATCCGCCCTCTGCTGCTAAGTAGTCATGTGACCTTATACAAATGAACTAATCTTTATGAAAAGAAAGATGAGATGCTATGAGATCTATGAGGGACTAAGTTTTAATGCCTATATTTTGAGCTCTAATACATACTAGAATAGTGAACTGGCCAACATCTGTTCTGATTGCTTAAATCCTTCCAGATTTAAGATTGTGAATACTCTCCCCCCTTGCTCATATCTCAAAGTGTGTAAAGAGTAAGTGAGGTTATGGATATAATTTATATGCTGTAAATACTTACATGTGCTAGACATTAATCCAATATATTTGAAGTCCTGTGAATGATCTTATAGAATTTTATTTTTAATACTACTATCAACAAATTGCAATAACTGAGAAATGTGAAGTTAAAAAACAAAAATACCTTCATGTTCATTTAAAATAAATTCCACTGGATTACTAACACCCAGTCCTGAACAACGAGGCAGCAGCAAAATCACTTTAACTTTCTGTAACTTATGCTCCTTTGATTCAATGTTAAGAAATGTTTCATGAAGTATTTCAATATCTGGGAACAAGGGGGAAAAAAAACAAAAACAGAAAAATTGATGTAGAAACCGTCATTAAAAATGTCACTGCAATATGTAATTATATATATTTATTATTCAGTTTTAAATCCTCAACTCCACAAAAGGTCATTTTTTTGTCAGAAAGAAGGGCTATTCTCCTCTGATAACTTCCCAAAGTTAACACACGAATACTCTTCTTGAGGTGCTTTCTCCTTCACTTAAGAGTTTTGAAGTTTTATATTTTCTAGGTAAAATATAATTTAAATTTTCCATCCTGAATGTCATATTCTATTACGCAGTAAGCTGAAGTGAAAGGAATGTGCAGTGAAGAAGGAAATAACCATGTCTGACTCTCGACGTCACCATTTACAAGCCATGTGACTTCATCTTTCTAACCCTCCATTGCTTTATTCACCAGGCAGGACATTCATACCTACCTCATCTAATTGTGGGGAGACTGAGATAAAGCAGTTAGTTACACAATTGATACTCAGCACTAGGATCTTCCTCTCCCATTTTTTATTGCTTTTATACTCTGTCTTTCCAGAACGGGGGGAATGAGTGTCAGTAGCATTCATGAGACACAGTCTCATGTCTCTTAGGGACCTTGTGGTTTACTAAAAGACTCGCTTTCCTCCAGCAGTGTCTATCTTATTCCAGCCCTCAAGGCCCCTCCCATTTCCTCGTGGGCTGCCACATCCACCCCTCCCCTGTTGAGGAAGCCACTCCTGAAATTGCCATGCCGCCCCCTTTTCTTTTGCCAGGTCAACATGTTTCCTTCTCCCTACTGTCACTTTTATTTATTTATTTTTAAAGATTTATTTATTTATGCACACAAAAACTGGGGTACACATTAGAGGTGCAGGAGGGTGAGGGGATTCACCAGAGACAGAGTGGGGAGCAGAACAGGCAGATCGATGAGGTACACTCCTGAGGGGAGCAGCGGGCGGGCCAGGAGAGGTCTGCCACGTCATGTGGTCACTTCCGGGGCAGGCGGGAATCGAACTCATGCGGAAGTGGCTTTAGCTTCTCAGTGCTGTGCTTTAACCCACTGCGCCACCAGGGAGGGCCATAAATGTTTTTTTAATAAGTGGGTCTTTACCTATTCCCCCCTGACTTTTAAGTTTTTATTGGAAAAGTTTAAGCATATACAAAAGGAGACATAGTTAAATATTAAATTCTAGAGTAGCTGTCACAGCTATCACTCAACACTACGCTCTCCATACCCAGTCTTGCTTTGACAATAGCTGTACCCACTTCCCCCACTCAGACAGTTTTGGAAATTAAAAATATTTCACCATATAACTCTCAAAGAACTATTTTAAAATATAACCATACAAAAGTTTCTTAAAATGATTCCTTATGCTCTAATATTAAGAGGTAATGATAACCAGTTGTGGAACAAATTTTGCAATAGTCTAACACCTATCAAACATTTTTAAGTTTTTTGAATTAGGTTTTATATAAGATACAACATACACTGAACTTAACTGATCAGACTTAAGTCTCTTTTCATCTATAGATTCCCTTTCTATTTTTCCTTACTTTTATCTTAATGAAACACAGTTGCTTGTACTATTAGAGTTTCTCACCATCTGGATTTTGATAATTGTTTCCTAGAATGTACTTTAACGGGTACTAGTCTTCTGTGCTTCCTATATATTAGTAGGTAGATCTTTAGAATCTTAATTAGATTCCTATACCTTTTCTTTCCCTTATTTTTAGGAGGGAGAGGAAGGCAACACTACTCCCCAAGTGGTGTCATATTCATCATTGAGTTGCCTTTTCACTTTCCAGCACAGCAGCTGCCAAGCAGTCACATTTGAGTTCAGTCATCCCTGTGTTATTTACTTGCTGGAGTACTTTTTTTTTTTTTTAATTTCTTTCTTTATGCTTATAAGAACAGGCCAGAGATGTGGTTGGTGAGAGGATTCACCAGAGACAGAGTGGGGAGCAAAACAGGCAGATTGACTGAAATACACTGCTGAGGGGGGCAGCAGACAGGTCAGGAGAGATCTGCTGTGCCATGTGGGTCACCTTTCTGGCCAGGGATTGAACTGATGCTGCAGTGGCTTCAGATAACTTCATCGTGCTGTGTTTTAACCTGTTACACCACCAGGGAGAGCTCCTTGTACTTTTACAAGGAGCAACTATTCTTCTAACTACTTGACTACCCAGTGGTTCCTATTCTCTTTTATTAAACAGGTAAAAATTCAGAGCTGGCCCTCTCTGGTGGCACAGCGGGTTAAAGCATAGCACTAAGAAGCTAAAGCCACATCAGCATGAGTTCCGTCCCCACCCTGGAGATGACCACATGGCCCAGCACACCTCTCCTGACCCCACCCACTGCTTCCCTCAGTTGGCCTGTTCTGCTCTCCACTGTGTCTCTGGTGAATCCTCTCACCACCCCTGCACCTCTGGCCTGTACCCCAGTTCTCTATGCATAAATAAATAAATCTTAAAAAAAAATTCAGAACTATAGTAATCCTGAAAGTGATATGCTGGGCATGACAATTATACAGATACCTCACATATAATGTGTTACTTTCAAAGTGGTTGTGCAAAGGGCCAGCCCCCCAACAGTGTTTGAGCATTCCAAACGTTATTAACAATTCTAAACCTTGTAGAACATTGATCACCAAATAAATATTTGTACATACTTTTACATCCCATTTTTGTGAAAAGTTTCTTCAGGTCAGGATCCTTAGCTTGCGATTGCACTCCACACACAAATATTTTTGAAGTATTGTTATTTGTTAAGATTGACATATGGGCAACTGTGTACCATGAACCTGTATTGACCATTAAGATATCATCATCCATATTTAGTAAAGCCTTTACAGAGTGGACAGCAAGACTTCGTGATTTGTCCTACAAGGTAAAGATATGATTAGATTTCAAAAGGTTTGACTGGGAGCATGAACTGACTTCCTTTTGCTTTAAGTAAAAGAAAGCACTTGGTAGGAATCTTGAAGAAGACATTTAATATAAACTAACTTGAAGACAAAGATCCTAACTTTTTGGGCCTAAATTATGACTTGTCATTTCACTTTATAAAGTGTTGACAATACCAAAATCCCACAAATGTGATTAATAGATACTCAAGATTAAAAGTAAGATAGTTAACAAGCTTATAAATACAGACCGGGTTTCTCAGTGGTTATTAGGCTAGCATTATAAATAAAGCCAAGAGAAGCTGCCCATGAATATGGGTCAAGCGAAGGGATGAATAGAAGACCAAGGTGGAGCTGAAGTAAGAATTAGAACCTAAAGTCACAAATGAATGACATTACTCCTCACATTGTCTTCACTGGCAGCCATTGCCCATTGCACACCTCTTAAATATCAAGGCTACAAGACTACAGTAGAGAGAGATGGGTTTTCAAATGCTTGATGGCACAAGCATCTTGTCAAAAGAGAGGAGGAAGACAAGGTTATCTCATACCTTCTCTTTCATCTCCCTTGGAAAAAAGAGATACAGCCTTTTAGCTGCCAGAGACACAAGTCTCCTTCCACTTAAGGAGTCTGGGGAGGACAGACGGTCTTTACAACTGATGTGGGACAGGGTGTAAAGAATAACAGGAATGCTGATTGTAAAGGTATTCATTTCATTCAAGGCAAAGATTAGGCCTTATAAACCTCCCCAGTAATCTCCAAAAAAATATTATACAAGTTGGGTAATTTTTTTTTAAGTGGGGGTAGGGATTCTTTGGGTCAGTAGAATTATTGGGAGTCATAATGATAGCAAATGTTTGTTTACCTGAAAGACAAGTTTACAATCTTTGAAAAGATCTGTATTTAGAAGATCACTTTTAAGGTGAGATGGAAAAATTAGCACATCATAACAATGTTGATCCACAGCAAAGACTTTATCATCAACATGCAACACGGACATGACCTTACGATAGCCTTTTTTCTTCAAAATGCTATAAACTTCTTCAGGGCTGTGAATATGCGACATTAAGTTGTAATTACAAGATAATACATCAGAAATATATTTAACACTAGCAACTTTTTCCTACAGTACATATCATCTTAGTGGAATTTATAATTTTGGACAACAATAAGCTAAAAGGTAATTCGAAACAGAAAACTTAACATATTTATGTAATTATCTTTGCTAATTTAGTGATCAGATCTTGAAGTAACCTATGATTCCCCAATCAGCCCCTCAGAGATGTACTCCTGCCTGCTAAAAGGTAATGATTCATGATCACATTAACCTGAAAGGTCAGCAACTTTAAAGATGACTAAAGAATTCATTTAAAATTCTTACCTGATTTTACAAGTATTAATCCAAGCATAAAGTGGCAAAGTAGAGGCCCTTAGCTCCTGTTTCCTAATTATTTCCGGGAGAATGTGATCAATTGAAAGGGCGTCATGTTTGATTCGACATCTTGCCAATGCCGCGGCCAACTTTGTCTTAAAACTGGAGACAGAAAATCCATTCTTGGTGACTACTACACTGAAGACAAAGCAACCAGTCCCCAGTAGAAATAATAACAAATTCTACCTAGAATTTTAATCCTCCTGTAATCCTATTTCGATATTTTTAACTCAAAAATAAAAATGTGCCCTATTTAAATTAGAAATCCAAAAATCCTGCTTCATTTCTTCAGTTTTTACTGCCCTTGTAAGGTCAGTCATCCTTTTAGATTTTTGCATCAGTTCCTGGTTGAGAGACACTTTATGTAGTCAAAGAAGTGGAAGAATTAGAGTCAGACAAATTTGAAGTTACATTCAGGTTCTGTTTGAACCTCTTTTCTCAATGTACTTTCCTATTAATGTGCATTAGCACAGTGCATGGCCCAGAGCAGACGTGCAGTAGACTAGGACAATTTCCTCAGAGGGCAGCCGGACAGTCTTGGTAAGCGAAGGAACATTCATGGTTCTGTAGCCAAGTCCTTCCTTGCTCTGAAGGTTCTGACTCTCCTGTGCCTCAGCGTTCCAAGTAACAGACACAGACATAGCGTCGCTATGAAGACCAGTGGTCTTTCTTGGTCTCATGGCCCAGACTTATGAATGAAAATACAGGACTGTCTCTCGACCTATCTCCAGAACATTTTATAGTAGGAATCTTTTTTTTTTTTTTACTATTATGTGTTTTTAACATCATTTTTCATTTTTGTACAATGTGTATGTTTTCATCTGAGGTGTGGACCCCTTGTAGTTCCACCACCAGTTCACCTGTGGGCCATCCCCATAGTCCTTTGTGCTCTTCCCACCCTTGTTTTGATCCTTATAGCAGGAATCTAACTGAAAAGTAAAGCTCAAGCCCAACCTTGAATGAGAAGGAAAAATGGCACAAAGAAAGGATCTGAGTGCTATGTGTATTTGTAGAATGCTTAATCTGATAAGCCTCTTCCTACTCAGTAGAGCAAGAGCCTTTCACCTCAGAATGTGTTTATGTGTGAGTATGTGTACATGAGGGGTGGAGAGGAGAAAGAACACAGGGAAGGAAAGGTTATCAAACATTAAGCCTTCTAGAATGACCAGAAATTAGATGTGTGTCACGCTGTCCATCAGAAAATAAATTGACAGAAAGGTTGTGAATTAATATTTTACATTTCAGACCATGAGATGTTTTGAAGTGCAGATTTTTTTTTCATTTTATTACAATGCTTGGCAATATGTTTAGTTTAAGGCATACAGCATAATAAGTTTGATTTACATGTATTGTGAAGTGATTACTATAGTGAGTTTAGTGTCCATCATCCCATACAGATACAGCAAAAAAAGAAAAAGTATGTGTCTTACAATGTGAGCTCTGAGGATTGACTATCTTAAGAACTTTCCTCTGTATCAAACATACAGTTTGCTATAGTCACTGTGCAGTAGATCACACCATCAGGGTTTACTTAGAACTGGAAGTTTGTACCTTCTGACCTCTTTCCTCCACTTCCCTCTCCTCCCACTCCATCTACACTAATTTTGATTTAACATTCCTCCAAATGCTTATTTAGTTTAAATTTATCATAATAAATGCTATTGACTTAATTATTTGATCCTTAGACAGACATGAAGCCTAGCAAAATAACTATGTGTAGTGTATATAGGGGCATACAGAGAGCAATCATTTTCCAAATTTCCAGGTAGCAAACTGTTGGACTGTGAATCTTACTATAATTTAACTACTCCAAAATTAATTTAAGGTATACACATACACACACACACACAGTTCTAGAGATTTGTATATCAATATACAATATCAAATTGAGGACAAATCCAAATTAGGACATATTACTACTGTAATGAAATAACCTGTGGTTACTACAAGACTTTTCCCATAGCTTTAAGACAAAAGCATTGATTAAAAATGGAATCAAAGGAAATCTTTGCCAAATTCTTGATCCAAGAAGTCCATTTCCTGTTACAATGGGAAGGTTGTCACAGAGAGGTGCCCAACTATCTCCTATTATCTCCATCATACATACCATCAGAAAGAAAGAAACTGATACTAATGTAATATCCAATTATATCCGATATAGTATGTCCCAAGAAAGCAGGGCGAAAACCAAATTTATCCCCAATGTTTCCGTTTATAGTAGAAACCAACTGGTATATAATCTAACCTCTCCTCTAACCTGTCCTCTTCTGAAAATGGCACTCCTCCCCACCGACCACCATCCATACTCCTTTCTTGGGAGACGTCTCTAACAGACTGATCCTCGGCTGTAGCTGAGGGCTGGAAGTTGGGCCACCCTTGACCTACCTCAGGGTCAAGTGATTTCTTTAGTGTAGCAACTAGCAGCAAAGAGTCAAGTTGATCTTTCTCGTGTTTGGAGCTGAGATGGGAAACGTGTGTGTCTGCCCTACTCAAGTATCTCCCTCTGGGAACAAAAGGATAAAGGGAAGAAACCAGAGCAAGGCAGAAGCTAAGGCTAGAGCTGAGTTACTGCATTTACTTACACTTTCTGTACACTCAGTGTTCATCTTTTCATGAGATGCTGCCTCATAAATTCTCCCTTTTTTCCTAATTGAGCTTGAGTTGGGACCCAGTTGCCAAGAAAGAATCTTAACCTCAATACCTTCGTGTAGTTATTTTAAAATAGGTTTTACTTCTTTTCGGTTTCAAATTTTTCAGAAGGTGTATTAAGGAACAAAATAGCACAAGTTTTTGAGTGTCATTACTAATTCTTAATACCAATGTGTTTCTCTTTAATTATAAATTGAGTTTTTTCTTTATGCCAAAAGAGAATCCCCAGTGAACAGCCTGAATTCCCCATACAAATATAAAATCAGATAGCACATTGATAATTGTTCAGACTATCCCTTAAGTAACAAAATAGACTGACTTTCTAAAAAAGGAGGGACAGTGATACACTTTTATATTTGCCCATATAATTTTAAATATTTTACCAGAGAAGCGACTAATAGTAATTTAGTGTAAAACATCTTTTTCACTCTATAAGTACCTGTTAAGAAGGTTCTCTACTTCTTGAACTTCCATTACTGATTCTTCATTATCAGAAAGGAGACGAGGTTGAAATTTTCTATCTTGGAAATCATACAACATCACCATAATAAGGCAACTCAAGTGATCTGGCTGCCATAGGAAACACACAATAAGTAGGCAAACGAGATCTAATAGCAGTATTTCCATTAGTTTTCATAAGAAAGTAGGAATATGACAATTTTTACATAGTCTCATTGGATTAGGATTTATATAAGAACTTCAAAAGAGGGGGAAATTACTGTAAAGACCAAATCCTTCCAAGAAAACTATTTTGGGTATGTTCATCAAAATGAAAGGAGAAAGGTCTGTACTGCAAGTGTTAGAAGTAGGAAAGAGCTGAAGATGTAATCCGAAGTAGTCTCAGCATTAAGCAATCTAGTTATTATTTAGATGTTTTAAATACTTTCTAAATAACTATCATGAGAGAATTAATTATATAGAGTTGTCTACTTACTATTGTAGTACTTGAGTGGATGTAGCTGTCTATTAATATAGACTCCAAAATATCTTGATCTACAAGAAAGATGTTTGTTACTGAAAATATCAAGGCTGAAAATCAAGATTTTGTGGGACCCCTCTGGTGGCACAGGAGTTAGTCTCAGGATTATCAAGCTATTGCCAGCCACTGCATTATAGCACAAATTTGATCCCCAGCCAGGGAGGTGACCCACATGGCTCCACAGACCTTTCCTGTCTTGCCCAGCAGTGTATATCGGTCAGTCTGCATGCTCTGTTCCCCGCTCTGTCTCTGGTGAATCCTCTTACCCCCTGGCCCCAGTTGTTATATGCACAGATGAATATATCTTTAAAAAAAGAAAATGAAGATTTTGAAATCACAATCTACTTCTGATAATGTCACAAAGAGATGTTTACTTTCCTAGCTCAAATATTCCTCAATTCTTGATTAAGTTTTCAATGATCATGCCATGATGCAATATTGTAGTCTTTACAAATCCTCAACCCTTTGTGACCCATACTCCATAGTCAAAAGAGCACTATCTGGATATTCAAATTAGTAAATAAGGAATTCCAACCTTTATGTCCTTTGAAAAATTAAAAAAGAACCAATTTATATGTCTTATTCTTTTTGTATATTGCTGGATTTAGTTAGCCAATATTTTAATTTAGGATTTTGATCCATGTTAAAGTTCATGGAGTATGTTGGTTTACAATTTTCTTTACTGTAATATCCTTGTTTATGTTGGTATCTGGGTTAAGCTGACCTTACACAATGAATAGGAAGTGCTCCTTCTTCCTTTATTCCCTCATAGAGTTGTGTTAGATTATAATTATTTCTTACTTAAATATTTGGTATAACTCAAAATGAAGATACTGATAAGGTGACATTTACTCAAAGACCCAATGACAAGAAGTTAGCCATGTAAAGACCTAGGAGGACAGAGCACTTTAGGGCAGAGGGATGATTGCAAAGATACTAAATGCAAACAAATGGACATATTTTTACAACAGCACAGAGTGGTGTTTTCTTTTGTTACAGCCATACAACTATTCAGACACACACACACACAAGCATCACCTAGGGAATGTTTTCATCAGTTGGACAGAAAACAGATTAATTTGATTCATTTCTTTTCTTTTCTTTTTTTTTTTAAAGATTTATTTATACATACAGAACTAGGGTTTAGGCCAGAGGTGCAAGGACAGAGAGAGGATTCACCAGAGACAGAGTGGGGAGCAGAACAGGCAGATCAATGAAGTACACTGCTGAGGGGAGCAGCGGGCAAGACAGGTGAGGTCTGCCGCGCCTTGTGGGTCACAACTTGTGGTGAAGTGGCTGTGGCTAGCTTCGAAGTGCTGTGCTTTAACCCATTGTGCCACCAAGGAGGGTCCTGATTTGATTCATTTAACACTATGGGAAACTATATGTACAGCACACATATGAATTTCAATTTTTAATTGGGGCGGGTGTGGTAAAGTTAAACAGGTGATTTAGAAGTACAGGCTCCAACTTTTGCAAGAAATCCTTTGGGTGTCATTATCAATATGTTAGCCACTGAACAACTATGGCTGTGCTCTACAAGGTAATATTCCCCAATTGACTTTTGAGGAAAATAAATTTCACACCCTTCATACTTATAAACCAATTCCTATCTGTGTCATTGATTCACCACAAGACTTCCAATTTTTGTCACAGAAAATATGGTCACCACAAGAATGAAGGCTTTTTGAAACAGCATGGCTACATCAGCTATAGAGCTTTGAGTAATGAAGTGCTTGGATTCCTACAAAGTAGGAAACAGTGTGAAGGAAAAGAAGACAGAACATGCCCGTGTCAACAATGAACTATTTCTCTAGCGTTCTTGTCAAAACCAGTATCATCTCCGGGATGCCTTTGCCGGGAGACTGCATTGCCTTCACACACCTGCAGCTCACACAGCAGCTTTACAGAGTGCTGACAGCATTCACAGTAACCACATACTTTAGATAATGCTTTCTAAGTACTAGGCATTGTTCTAAGCACTTTCCAGATATTTATTCATTTAATTCTCATAACATTTATGAATTTGGTATCATCATTATCTGTTTCATAGATTAGGAAATAAGACACAAAATGGTTAAGTAAGATGTTACAGCCTCACAGCGGCAGGTCAGACCCAGGTCTGGCACCAAAGCTCAAGCTCTTCACATTACATTAGGCAGCTTTTCCTCATTTTACTCACAGCAAACAAGAGTGGCCAAATAAAACACACACTAATGCCCGATTTGGGTTTTCAGGCCTTACCAGAAGACTCCAAACAGCTCCGATTAGACCCGAAACCCCACTAATTAAAGTCGTTTCTCTTTAGTTTGTTGAAAAGTTGAAGGAAACTCTTAATCTCCTTGCCCCTGTATTGCCACTTCTCTATCTGTCTCTCTCTTTCCATCCCTCCCACTCCAGCAGTAAGATGAAACTTGCTTCTTGTGATTCTCCTCTAGGTTCTCCCTATTTTTATTATATTTTTGTAATTTCCTTCATATGAGTGATTTCATGAACCTTCACTTCGAGAAAGCCAATGTGCTCTTATAATTATAAAGTATAATTGAGTGGAGGTTTGTGAGTGAGGGAAAAGGGAGACTTGAAACAACTGCTTTGGTCTTGATAAACTAGTAAGAACAGACACTCATACGTTGGAAAGAATAGCTGAGAAAAGGAGATACCATTGAAAAGGTGGCATCACCAAATGCAAACTACATAGTGCAAATAAAACAATGTGAACTACAGAAAACACTAGAATTGGGAATGGGGGTTGCTTCCTTTACAACCAGAGGAGATATTTTCATCCTTTACTCATCTTCCTTCTCTGGGTGTATCATTTAATCTCTGCTTAAGTTTCCCTCAAGTTTTTCATCTGCTAAACAAGACTCTTCTCAAAGGACTGGTAAACCAAATTGTATAAGTGGCTATGTGAGCTGCAATGAGATATACAAATATAAGGTACTATTATTGCCATTCAAGAGAACGGTTTTCACCTCAGACAATCAGAACACAAGAGGTTATTGAACTAGATCGTTTTCCTAATGAACAGCTGTGCAATCAACAGTTAACTCAGAGGCCTGGGTGGCCAAACCCTGCACATTCCAAACAAAGGTTTGGCCCTTGACTAGCTCCTAAGAGATAATCCTGTGGACATCTCACCTGATCAAATTGTCTTTGTACACCTGGGGCCTTGGCCAACACAGTTTGAGCTTGACCTCTGGAAAAGCTAGGGGTTGAGTAAGATCAGCCAGTAGAGTGCTCATGGTTTACATGACTGACTCCAATAAAAACCTGACCAGCAAGACATGGTTGAGCTTCCCTTGGAGATATTTCATCCATGTTGTCTCCTGTCATTGCTGGGAGAATTAAAGACTGTCCAGAAGACTCCATTGGGAAGAGCCATTAGGGAATTTGCATCTGGTCTCTATTGAACTCTGTCCTACACAACTTTTTCTGGTGCTGATTTTAATCTGTGTCCTTTCACTGGAACAAATGGTAACCCAGGAATTAAAGTGGCTTTGCTCAGTTCTGTGAGTCCTTCTAATGAATCACTGAACCTGAGGGTGGTTTGTTTAGTTTTGTACCAGCTCCAACTACTAGTTCCCAAAGCCATAACCAAACCATACATTAAGCATTTGCTATGTTTTTTATTAACAGATGAGGTGATCAGGTGATTAGATGATGAGATGTTCAGATGAATGCCACAGTCAGTTTATGGGATGCTTGCAAGTTCGACTGCTATGTGTAGCCAGAAGATGGGGAAGAACTCAGTCAGGAATAAATCAGTGATTTCAGGGACCTCTCTTTCCTCACTTCCCCCCTTCATTTGTTGTTCATTGATTTGTTTTTTAAAAAATCATTTTGCCAGTTTTTCTTCTTTTTAAATATTTATCATTCCTTGAACTATCCCAAGAATCTCTGAAAAAATAAACTGGCTACTAGCAGTCTACTTCCTTGATAGAAGTCATACTCAGTAAGAATATGCCACACTCTTCATTACCTTCTATAACAGAAAACTGACCTTGGGGCTATGTATTAAAGCAGGACTATTGGCATCTTCCTTTCAAAAACACTATACTGAGCCCTTTAAACGTTTAAAAGGTTAATCAGATAAACACGCTTTCTGCTTCAAAAGAGCTTATACATAAAGAACATCAACGAGGAGCAAACAATAAAACTGAGAAACATGAAACACTACATTTGTCTAATGAAGAGATTTTCACTGTCCTTTTTTCTTCTTACTCAAAAAAAAAAAAGAGCTAATTTGATCTAATTACCTGCCAGAAACTCACCAATAAAAAGGACTATTATCCAAATTCTCTTTAGTTTTTAAATTAACCTTTTCAGCTTCCCTGCTCCTATAAAACCTTGGGGAGAAAGTCCTGCATTTTCTTTTCTGAACAGTGACTCCTGAACCCGACCATACAAATATCGCATCTACAAAATGTCACGTGGGAAAGAACACTAAGAATACAGAAGATACAGGCACTACAGCCAACAATGCTTTAAAGTTCCTAATTATCTTAGAAAGCCACTGTATTGAAGAATTCTAGTTTTATTCCACTTGACACTCAAAAATGATTCAGAAAATTTAAAGCAAGATATTATAAGAAGAAAATATTTGTACCGAGCAAACAAACAAATCCATCTTATTTTAGAATTTGAACTTACAAAAGAACAACATGTCCAGGAAAACCAGATCTGTAGGAGCTTGAAAATAATTTTCTGAATGGTGTTTTCTGGGTCATTAAAAAAAAAATCAGATAGGATAGTCACAAAACCTTTTCTTAAAACTGAAAAAGAATTCAGAGAGAGAAACAGCATACTACACTCATCACTATGGCATGGTCAACTAGTTAATGCACTGGTTTTACACAGAATTATTTCAAGTGTTTGTTGATTTCTAAAGGTAAGACAATATTCTATTAGGAAATCAAACTCTATTAAGAGAATGTTGACAATAAAGTTAGGAAACAACAATAAACCTAGATGCCCAATCTGTAGTTTACTGTTGCAAGGGAAAAAAGTAAAAAATAATTGCTTTTACTCAATATTTAAAATGTAACACTTTGTTGATCTTCAATACTACATTTTTTTAATGGGATGAAGGGAAGAGATGAAACAGAATCTGAAGATTAAACTGGAGGAAGAAATATAACACCAAGATAGATTTTTAAAAGAAGAAAAAAAATCACAAGCAGGAGAAAACAGGATGACACTAAAAAGAAGTTGCCTTTAATATCATCTCTGTAGAACATATTTGTGTCTAAATAACAAATGGGATGAGCAGAGGATGGATTTCACGAAAGCCAGGAAGATGCTAATGGTCTCCACCAACAGGATGCAGAATCCTCAGAACCAGAAGTGGCTATACAGGTGGGAGATCCCAACTGGGGGCTGGAAATGGGGAGTTATAAAAAAGTGCTTACTGGAAGGGCTACAGCAGAGGATTCCCAAACAAAAGACTTTGAATACAATTCTACAGCTTGAACAGAGAGCTAGTGAGGATCCATATCCAAGCATATGCCACTCACATGGATACCCCAGAAAATGCTCATCTCATCACTATGGCATTCATTATGCATAGTGCCCCACACATCAGGAGAAAGTTAGCAAAAGTGGATGGCGTCACAGAGATGAGTCCGTCCCAGTCAGCAGACTTGGCTGGCATTTGAGTTTATAATACCAGAGAAGAAAGAAGACCTAAACCTGAGACTGTTTTTGTACAGAGGGAATGCAGAACAGAGTTTCAGGGAAAGAGAAAGAGATAAGTTGATTAATGCGTCCTACCAGTTCAACCGAACAACTGGTAACTGCCTGTAAGATGTGCAAGGCCCATTAAGTACTAATACCAAGGAAATATTCCTGATGAGAATTTCAAGGTGTCTTTTTCGGAAGAACATCATTTCCACCATAACTAACCTACTCCAAATTCTGGGACTTCTTTTTGGTATCAGTCAGTTTAGAAGCCAATGAGAACGTTATAGTTTGTATTATTATATACTGTGCTACGTTGCATTAGTTCAGTTTATAGCTAGTACAAAAATAAATGTCTCCAGACCCTTTGACTGCTCATTCTCATTATTATGGTATTTGGTTCTAATTTAGCATCATCCTCAGAACCATTATTGAGAGAATCTGAAACACTGCACCGCAAACCCTCAAGGCAAATTAGTTTGGAAGAATATGCAAGCTCCCCAGATTAAAGCTATCACCTCTGAAAAGAGTCGTCCTAACTGGAATTGTTTAAATTTTGATATTCCTCTTTTTAAACCTGTACCTTTTCTTCTTATTCCATCTCTTGTTTCTCCCAGCCCTTACTGGCTTTCTATCTGTGAAAGTTCACAAACTAAAATCCAAGAGGTAAGCACAGAGACTGGGAAAAAAATAGAGACTGTATGATTGGCTACTTAATGGATTTTCCTTCTTCCTGCTACAGGAACTGTCTCCTCGAGCTGAATATCTGTGCATTACACTAAGACAAGGACAAGGATATGAACAGTGAAAAGAGCTTGTTTTACTGGAACTTTCTCAATTCCTTCACCTTTGCAACAGACCAAAGACAAGTATATTGGGTAAAAGCAAAGTGTGTGTTGGGAGAGGGTTGGGGGCGAAAAGGGGTTAATGCACTCTGCAAATTCTCATTATTTTCTTGGACTTGCCGTTTAAGATAGTACTACTCACACTTCAGGGTGCTGAAAGCCAGCTCATAGGACAAACGTTGAAGGGATTCGTCCCCAGACTCCGACAAGGACGGAAGGGGTTCCTTCCCGTACTTTATTAGGGCTTTCTCTGGTGACTTTTCCATTCGAATACCCTGAAAAATGTTTGCTGCCATAACGTAAACGGAGTCCGGATAGCCAGTCTTTTCGGGCACAGCTGTCAGGTTTCTTTCGTTGGCGGCCTCGTCACCTGACAGCGCCAGAGAAGCGAAATGGGAAATCTCCTCGATATTTTCTTCGTTTGCGAACTCCAGTTCACTGGCGGAGTTAAGCATGATCGCCCCTGGACCGTAACTCAAGCTTGAATTACAACTCAGATGTTCCAAGAAATGGTTCTCCCTTTTACCTTAAGCATCGTCTCTGCAAAAGAAAAGGTTCTCGGTCACTCATTATTTCTGCTGGGCCATGTGCCCTTAGCTCTGGTCCTAAGAACGGATAGGTGGCATTTACTAGCCGATACGTGCAGCCGGTAACTGGAGCCCGAAAACGCCCCAGCGAAACGACCACACGCTAAAAGGGGGAGAGGTGGAGAGGCGGGAGGGAAACTCTTCCCAAGGGGCCAGCGACTTTTCCCGAGGCCCGTTTGGGGATGGAGCTCCCCAGTGAGTTGCGTCAGCGGCCCCACCGGCGCCCCTTTTACCCGTTCCCACGATTCCTCCCTTACTCCAAGGGGCGGATGTTTCCCGGGGCTTTGGGGACCGAGACGCTGCAGCCGCTGCACTTCGGGGGCCGGAGACTGGTGTCGGCAGCAGAGCCCGCGGAGCCCCGGGACTGCAGAGCAGCGGCAGCCGCAGCCCGCGAAGGCCGTTTGGTTCAAATGCAGCCTGTCCCACCGGCCGGGTTCGGGACAGGGGGGGCGCGGCTCCCGCGCCCACTTGGCTCCGGTTCCCGGGAGGAGGGCGCGCTGGGGCGCCCCGCCTGACCACGCGCAGTCGCGCTCGGACGCGGGGGCGGAGCGGTGTGGGGCGCGGGCCGCGGGGCGCGCGGGCGCAGGTCGCCGAGAGCGCGGCCTCCCCGCCGGCAGAAGTCAGCCTGCACCAGCCCCGGTCTCCAGGCAACCAGAAGCGCAGCCGACGCGGGGAGCCAGGGGGCGGTTCCCGCGGCACCCGGGCCCGCGACCCCTCGCTGGGCGAGGGCCCTTCCTGCGGTGCCCCGACGCCTGGCCTGGCCCCCTTTGAAGCCGAAAGCCCTGGCGCAGGAGGACCACCCCATTCCGAGGGTCCTTGTCACCCTCCTCCCCCAACCACGAGTGACCCCTCTTTCCGGTTTCACCCTCTGGGATCTTGAAAGCAATTTTGTGTCGCTGATAGCACCCAGCTCGGATTTAGCAGGGGCGCAGCTAATGTTTGACAGATGGATGTAGCTCTCCTGAAAAAGGAAAAAAAAAAAAAAAAGACGATCTTACTTTGTTTCCATGCTCTTGAAGACAGTGGACATCACATTCGACAGACTCTTCTAGGGCAAATTTATGAAGATCTTAGAAAAGTTAAGACCGCATCCCGCCTTTCCATAGGAGTCTGCACAGAAGGATGTTGCTGAAATGAAAGATCTAATTTGCCCCACCCTCCAAATTATAGAATGGAACTGGGACAAATGGAACCTCCCCAATTTAGAGCCAATTTCTAGGCTCTCTAATTTTTGAAATGCCTAGAGAAAAATCTTCATCCTAATGCCTCAAAGGAAAATAAATCAGCTATGCTAACTTTTAAGTGTATTAGAAAAACTCTAATAATTTCTAGAATAAAATCAAGTGACTTGAGATTTAAAGTCTTCTGTTGGGGCCAATTTTCAGCACTTCTTTGATGGCCTTTTAACCTTTTATCTCCAGAACATATGTTCTAAAACTGAAAAAGGAAGGGGAAAGATTGTTTTTCCCCAGTATATACCATGTATATTGCTACTTTGAAACTTGTCTAGCAGGTTTCAACAAGACTAGTAATCTAACAATTTTAAAACTAGTGAGATTACGTGGATTACTTGTTTACACTCTGATTTTTTTTTTACAATTAAATTTCAAGAACTAATGCAAATGTGAGTACATAAAGGTCATGCAATGAATTGTAACATACATTTATTTCACATTTCTAATTCCACCAGTTTTTGGTTTGGAAAAATTCCTTCGGCCTCTTGGGATTTCTGTTCCCTCTTCTACAAACTAGACTGATTTCATCCCAGATTATTTTGCTTGTGAATTGTGGGATTTCCATCTTCTCACTCTCCATCCCACCTACCTCATAGTTTCTTCTTGACTACTGGGAAAAAGCCACCTCATCTCGCCAGGAAGGCAAGGGTGTCAGTGCCATTGCTTGATGTCATCAGTGACATTTCCCAAATGTCACTGTCTACACGGGCTGTGTTCCCATGGTCTTTGCCTTTCACCTTTTGCTACTATTGTGAACTCCTACTCCATGGTGAAAGTCAGCGTACAGTGGGCCTTCTCAGTGTGAGTTCGATCCCTGGCCCTGGAGGTGACCCACATGGCGCGGCACACCTCTCCTGACCTGCCCGCTGCTCACCTCAGCAGTGTTCTTCAGTCTGCCTGTTCTGCTCCCCACTATCTCTGGTGAATCCTCTCGCCACCTGTGCATACCATCCCTGCACCTCTGTCATGTACCCCAGTTCTGTATGCATAAGTTAAATAAATTTAAAAAAAAAAGTCAATGTAAGCACACTCCATAAAGGCTTTCCTCATGCTATGTCAGTTACCATGTTAAAGAGACCCAGAATAAACAGTGGCTGCTGCTGAAGTATGTGTCAGACACAAGCCCTATAAGCCCTCTGCCCTCCACAAAGTCCTTAGAACCAGGCTCTTGTTTTTGGCTGCCTATAATGGCTTTGCCAGTGGCTGGAGTGCCTTCTTTTTGCTCTCAAGGGCATCCCCATGAGATGTATGTCTCTTTTGTTCACATGCCATTGGCCCAAACCTCGTCACATGGCACATACTTAGCAGCAAAAGGCATGGGTAAATGTGTCCAGATCAAAATCAAGGGAACTGTTACTATAGAAGAAATGGAAACACTGGGAACTTAGGAATCTCTGCTATAAAACTCTATGCCAGACCCCTTTGCCCACCAATTTGGTCATTTCCATTATCCCAAGAGTGTCACATGTTCCCTTCCCACAACCCCATTACATCTTGTGGATGCAAACATACCCATTCATACAATACAGCAACCATTAAATTCTTACTGTATACCTGGCGTTCTGCTCACCTCTGCTAGTAAAAGAGGAATGTATGGACAGGATCAGGGACACTCTCCTCAACATATTAGTGCATGGGTATACTTGTCTTTTGGCATCTTTTGGTTTTTATTATTAGTATTTGAGTATATATTTGTTTTTCTCCTCCTCTTGTACCCTTCTGCCCTTATAATGCATAAGACACATCTTCTCTAAAATAGTTTTATTATATCCTTTTACTTTTATTATATACTATGACTTTTTAGTCCCAAATTCTAGCAAAATATCATCTTTCATATGAGCACACACACCTGCAGAAGATTAAAAAGATGAAGGTGTCTTAGAGGTCATTATACCTATGATACAGCACACAAAGGGCAATCTGCTTAAATTAGGAAACAAAATCTAGTTATAAAATTTAAAATGGTCATTTAAAACATAATTTGAGGAGATTCTTTTTTCTTTTTCTAAATGACAGGTCAATGTAAATGACAATTCATTGAATTGAAAGCAAAGATTTAAAGAGTGTCTCTACCTAAAGTAAAATTTAGGCAAACAGTTGTACAGTTAGTGAATTCATGATTGCTATTTACTCTATTCTGTATAATCCTGCCTCCTTCCCTCTCACTCCTGGTTTATAGCCTCTTTGTGGAGGGGAGTTCCCGAGGGGGGTGGTGCATATTAAATCTCAGTGAGCACAGTACAAAAGTAACCATAGAGATAGGTGTGTGGATTCCACTGTTATGGAGGCAGGGTAGCAAAAAATGTACTCTTTGCGTAAGTCACACTCTGTAATATAATCAGAACATTAAATCAGGGGCTGTTGTAGAAAATTAAAAGTTAGTAGCCTGGAGCTTTCTGCCAAAAGAACTTAAAGGAGTGATTTTCATCCCCCAGAGGGTGGTATTTGAAATTTTTATAAATTAACATTCCTTGCGTTTGACTCAGAGCAGCTAGAGTGTGTTAACCAAGTAGGTATTCAAAATGCCTTTGCTCACTTGCTTCAAAGTGATCTGGGCATATAAAGTATGCTCAGTTCCACTGAAGCTTATTATAGAAATGTAAAAAAACATATGAAGCATAAAGAATTTTAACTTGTGTTCTTAAACATTAAGGCTCAATTCATAATTATTGCTGTTCAGTACAGTTTTCTTTGCGACAATTCCCTTCCTCGTTCTTTTTATTTTATGAATTTATATCTAGTGCCCCATTGTGGCCCTAAGCTATGCCCAACTTAGAATCTGGGGACAGTAAGACAGGCATCAGTTTCTGCACGAAGGATCCTCAGACCTCAAGGGTAAGGCACAAATATTAACTATCCCATCCCCAGAAGTGGAGAGAGGGACATGCCAGAAAGCAGGAAATTCTCGCAGAGACTTTATCCTTTGGTGTGGGGTGCAAGTTGGGCTAAAGGAACACTCTGCATAGGCTAAAGGTTAGCTTTCTGCAAAAGCCCTCCTACCCGGCCCTTGTGGAAAACTTGTCCCAAACAAATTGAGAAGAAATAGTTTAAGTTGATCATAGAAAGAATCCTTTGTAAAAACAAAATATGATTGTGGGTTTTTTAAACACAAGCCCATCGAAGAATAGTCAAAAGCCACAACTACTTGCAGGGGAAGAAAAAGCATCTCTCCTAGTTTGGAAGCAGAATGGCAGGAGCAAACACTCCTAGCAGGTGGAGGAGGATCAGAGCAGATCTCAGCAAGAGGCAGTTCAGAGCCAGTGCCACTTATAAGCCGGAAATGACAGCCACACCCAGCAGTCTAAGTTATCTTGGATATAGGGGAGAATGGATTCAGACTTGCCATCCAGCTCTGAACTGTCCTTTGTGGCCCAGCAGAAAGAAGAACTGCTGTGGACAAGCATAGCATAATGGATTGCACTAACAATGTTGCCAGGGTTGGTTATTCCAGCGCCATTTCCATGACTTTTTCCTGTATCCATCTATAACCATTTATATTATCTGTTTGATATTTTATTTAAAATTTTTAAAATATTTATTTATTTATGCATATAGAACTAGGGTTCAGGCCAGAGGTGCAGGAGCAGTGAGAAGATTCACCAGAGACAGAGTGGGGAGCAGAACAGGCAGATCGATGAAGCACACTGCTGAAAGGAGCAG